TGCGAGCACGGCGGGGAGGCGGCTGGGATCTGGTTGAGAGCCCGACGGGGGTTAGAACTGGGCGGGATCCAGCGTCAGGGTCCTGGAAGGCCAGTCAGAGTCAACGTCTAGCCCGGGTCAGACAGCGGGGGCCTGGTCCCTCTTAACCTGGGGCCTCAGATCCAGCCCCGGGGCAGGGTTCAGTACGGCGCTTGGGGAGAGCCGAAGTCCCTGGGGCAGGCTGGGGTGGAAGACAGGGAGGGTTCTTGGTCGGGAAGGAGCTCTGAGCACCACGTGGGGGCGCTCGAAGGGGCTTGGGCCACCCTCTCTGGGTCAAAGGTCATCGCAGAGGCGGGGGAGAACTTCTTCCTTCTCCTCGGCCGTCTTCATGTACTTCCTGATAACCTGATAGAGGTCCCCCGGGGGCGGAGGGGGAGGGAAAGCTAGCAACTTCGGGTAACTTCCCATAGGTGTGCGCAGGTTAGGGGGCGGGGCGCCCCATGAGGTGGTGGACTCTGCGGCAGGCTTGGGGTGCAAGGAGGTGGAGCCGCACCCGGTGGTGTGGCTGGAACTGGGCATGCTGGGGCAGGAGGGGCGCGGCGTGACTTGGGTGAGAGGCTGTACTTTCTCGCCAGAGTCTGTGCCACTGTATGTGCTTCAGGGGACCCTTCGAGATGGTGCGAGATTGAATCATGAGCGTGTTTATGGAGGTTTTGAGAGAAGTGTGAGAGTAAGGATTAGGGGTTTGCGAGTATGAAAACCCCAGAACAGTGAGTAGGTATATGGGGACACTGGAGAACCCAGGTGAGTGGGGTGTGGGTATTTCTCCTAGGCCAGAGTGGCTCATTGTGCCCTCTTGAATAGGAAGTATCTAAGTGAGGGGGAGATCATGGAGGTCACCCCAAGATCTGGAAGGCATTACAGGTGGGGTTGGAGGTTGTCTGGGGGCTGAGGTTACTTTGCTCCCAGGTCTCTGCTAGGTTCCCAAGAGGGAGACCTGCTGTCAGTTACTGCCCTGGAGGCTCTGGAGACTCTGTTCCCATGGCAGCAGCTGGGGGGGCCCCCTTCGTGGGCAACGCTTCCTTGGACTCTGCCCCCCTCCCTCCCCCTAGCTGAGCCTGGAAGCCTGGCCCAAGCCCAGGGTTGGGCAGCCCATGTGGCAGCGTATCCTCCCATCCCCCATCCCTCAGTCTCTCTGTGACCTGATGGTCTCTCCCTGCAGGTGACCAGCGCCATGTCCAGCCAGGTGGTGGGCATTGAGCCTCTGTACATCAAGGCAGAGCCAGCCAGCCCTGACAGTCCGAAGGGTTCCTCAGAGACTGAGACTGAGCCTCCTGTAACCCTGGCTCCTGGTCCAGCTCCTGCCCGGTGCCTACCAGGGCACAAGGAGGAGGAGGATGGGGAAGGGGCTGGGCCTGGTGAGCAGGGCAGTGGAAAGCTGGTGCTCAGCTCCCTGCCCAAACGTCTTTGCCTGGTCTGTGGGGATGTGGCCTCTGGCTACCATTATGGTGTGGCATCCTGTGAGGCCTGCAAAGCCTTCTTCAAGAGGACCATCCAGGGTGAGCCCGCACCCCTGTTCTGTGTCCTTTGCCCTGTACCCTTGGCCTGTCACTTCCCAGCTGGTACACTGCTGAGTCTGCTCAGGTACTGCATGAGGTTGGTAGTCTGGGGCTCCTAGGCCCTTATATCTCAGAAAGGAGAAATAAAGCCCCTAGTACCTGTCAGTGGGTTGAATGGGATGTAGAGGGGACATAGGTGCAGGGTGTTTTCCTGGGTGCCCTAGGCTCAGCATACCTTTGACAGTGGCTTTGAAAAATTCCAAGAGAACTTCTACCTGTTCCAAACCTTTGTTTTTTCTGGCAGCTGCTAACCTCTGCCAGCATAGAACATGGCCCTTTTTCTTAATTTTCCCAAAGCAATACCAATGAAGAACAGATTTTTTTAGATATCTTCATACTGAGCAGCATTTCTAGCCTTTTAAAAATTAATTTTTGAGACAGAAAGGCTTGTTATGTACCCCAGGTTGGCCTCAAACTTGTGGAGATCTTCATTTTTTGCCTCAGCTTCTGAGATCTGGGATTATAGGTGTGTATCAGCACACCCAGTTCCTCCATCATATTTTAGCACCTCACTTTAAAAAGATTGTTAGGGAGCCAGGCATGGTGGTGCATGCCTGTAATCCCAGCACTTGGGAAACTGAGGTAGGAGGATCATTTTGAGTTAGAGGCCAGCCTGGACTACATGGTGGTGAGACCCTGTTTCAAAAAACAAACAAAAATGATTGCTAGGAATCCCTGCTCTTTTACGTTTGTTATTGGAAATAGCCTTTTGCTATGTGGCTCAAGCTGGCCTTGAACTTTCGATATACTGGATATACAGGCAATTTAGACTCTATCTCAGGATAAGATTTAAAAAGGGAGGCCAGGGAGGTGGCTCAGTAGAATAAGTGCTTGCCTGGCAAGCGCAAGGGCCTGAGTTCAATCCCTGGTTCCGCAAAAAAAAAAAAAAGGTTTAAAAAGGGCTGGGGACATATGGCTAAGAGGTAGATGCGGTGCTTGCCTAGCCCATGCAAGGTCCTGGGCTAAATCCATAGCACTGCACTTGTCACTCTTCAAGTCCCTTCCCTCAGGAAAGCAAACCAAACTTTGAGCATGTGGGTAAGATGCTAATGTAAACATTACCTGGCATTATTGGCCTATTAGTTACATTTTTATGTACCCTTTAGTTACTTCGGGGCTTGTAGCAACTATAGTGAAAAAATTTTTTGAGTGCTTACTGTGTGCCAGAGACTGACCCACAGCAGCGCTGTCAGCATTGTCATAGTTAAGGCCCGCTTGGTTCTTGAAACTTGAAGTCTCACAGGTAGAAATTGCAGAACCAGAATTTAATAGAAGTCCAGAACTAAATTCTTAAATGCCAGACTGCTACCTCTGCTTGTTAAGTAATAACTGGACTTCTGATTGTGACATCGCAGTGAGTTTTTGACTTTGCTGAAATACATTAGTCTACAAATGTTCCCTGTTGGCTCTGAAGATCAGTGAGGCAGCAAGGCCAATCCAGGTGTCTTCCTACACTCACTCTGGAATCCTTTGTGTAGCTGTTAACAAGTATTTATTGAGTGCTGGCTATATACGGTCATTTATTGGGCACTTAAATGCTGTTTTGCATTTTTGGAGCACCCTACCACTAAGCCACACCTTCAGTGGCAAGTACTGTGTGTGTGTGTGTGTGTGTGTGTGTGCGCGTGTGCGTGTGCATGTGTGGTGTGTCTTACTGGAGTTTGAGCCCAGGGCCTTCACACTGAGCTACATCCCCAGCCCTTTGAGTCAGGATCTCCCTGAGTTGCCCATGCTGGCTTTGAACTTGTGGTTTTCTTTTCTTAGGCTCCCAGAGTGCTAGAATTACAGGTATCCATCACCAAGCCTAGCTCCAAGTATGATTTTTATCCTAGTTTCAAAGCTGGGAAAACAGGTATAAGGGGTTAGGTCTGGAACTTGCTCAAGGTAACACAGTTTGTCGGTAGTGGTGACAGGATAGGCCCCACACACCTTTTCTGACTTGTGTTTTACTGTCCTGACCAGTGTTCCAGATATGGAACACACAGCTGGACTAAGGTAGGGAGAGACAGGGAGCAAAGCATGAGCCAAAGGACTGGTCTGGGTGCTGGATGGCGAGTGTGTGTGTGTGTGTGTGTGTGTGTGTGTGTGTGTGTGTGTGTGAAGCTGAGTGCAAAAACCCACCGAGGATATAGGAGGAAGGTAGGAGAAAGTGTACTTGATAGCTAGAAATACCAACAAAGGAGAGTTAGCATTTTCACATGTAGCCAAGGAAGATCTTCCTGAGGTAACAAGGGGCAAAGGTCTGAAGGGGGTGAGGAGGAAAAAGTGTTCTCAGAGGGCAGGACTAGACAGGAGTGCAGGCAAGGAGCTGCATGCCCTGAGGCAGCCCTGTTTGAGAAGCTACAGGTGTGGAGTAGAGGTCATAAAGGTGAGGGCTAGGTGAGTCCAAGGGGAAATGCTTGGAGGGTTTGAGCAAAAGTGAGACAGGAGCTGACACAGGTCTCAGAATCCCTGTGGGGAGAGAGCAGGCCAGTGAGGTGAAAGGTGATGGTGATGAAAGTCCAGGGGGAAGCAGTTGCCAGGGGCAGGAGCTGGAGTCAGGGTGGATGAGAAGATAAAGCTTCCAGGATTTGCTAACAGGTTGCACACAGTGTGCGAGGGATGTGATAATCTGCACAAGTTTCTGCTTGGGCAGCAGGGTGAATGCAGTTGTAGGCTTGGAGAGGAGGTCTGGGTCTGTGTAGAATGTGTGAATTTTGAAAAGCCTTCAGGATGTCCAGGATGCAGCTGGATTGGTGAGTGTGATGCTCAAGGCAGGTCTGGGCTAGAAAAAGAAATCAGCAAGTCCTATGATGTAAGATTGCCGCAGGAGTAAGTGAGGGTAGGTGCCAGGCTGGGCCCAGGCAGCTTCAATGGAAGGAACTGAGGAGATGCAGAGAAACCACAAAGAGGACAGAAGTGGGAGGCAAACAAGAGAGTGGTATCCTAGAAGCAAAAGAAGAAAACGTTCAAATGTTTCTAGGAGCAGCATGCAATTAATGTGTTTCATGCTACTTCAGTCCCTAAGATGAGAACTGAAGTTGACTATTAGATTCAGTAGCATGGAAAGTAGTGTGGCCTAGTGGAGTGGGTCACCCAGAGGCCTGGGGCAGAGAAGCTGCCAGTCTGCTTGGTCCCTGCCCTTCCTGGCCAATTCTCTCTCTTTGCTGCTTATGGCACCCTACTCTCCCTTTCTTTCCTGTACCCCCAGACCTGTGCTTTCCTGGGGTGAGTCAGGGCTTTCCTGTCCACTGGGCCCTCTCCAGGCCTGGGGAGACTGCCACTGGAGCCCTGGCTCTTCTTGGCAGGGAGCATCGAGTATAGCTGTCCAGCCTCCAACGAGTGCGAGATCACCAAGCGGAGACGCAAGGCCTGCCAGGCCTGCCGCTTTACCAAGTGCCTGCGGGTGGGCATGCTCAAGGAGGGTGAGCACTGGCAGGGTCCTGGGTGGGGTAGTGGGTGTTGGGGGGGCAAGTGGGGGAGTGCAGGGCCTGGGTAGTTCTGCTTAATAGGCTGAGGACAGTTCTGCAGAGCAAGCCCACCCCAGCCCTACAGACTCATCCTGTCCTACAATTCAAGGGGTGCGCCTGGACCGTGTCCGGGGTGGGCGACAGAAGTACAAACGGCGGCCAGAGGTGGATCCGCTGCCCTTCCCAGGTCCCTTCCCTGCAGGCCCCCTGGCAGTAGCTGGAGGACCCCGGAAGACAGGTAAGAGAACACGGTGGGTCCCCAGAGCTCTGGGGCAAGGGTGTTCCAACTCCAGGAAACCAACCTATCTGGCATCATTATAGGTACTGGGTCCCATACTTCCCCTTCATGGATTCATTTACTTTCCTAAGAATTATATATGGAGTATCTTTATATATGTTGGAGACCAAACAGTACAGCTGGGACCAGAGAGGTTTTCTTAACACTTAGACTGTCTGCAAACCTTCCCTAGGACTCAAGACTTTCTCTGGGAGGTAGTGGATACTTCCCAGGAGGTGTACCCTGGTTGGCCATGGGCTGTGGAAAAAGGCTACAGGGAACCTGCCAGGGGCAACACTGTACCTAGAGGAAGGCTGTGGCATCTCAGTGCTTCTGACTAGTCCTCCCTATCCCTGCAGCCCCTGTGAACGCACTAGTGTCGCACTTACTGGTGGTTGAGCCTGAGAAGCTATATGCCATGCCTGACCCTGCTGGCCCTGATGGACACCTCCCAGCTGTGGCTACCCTCTGTGACCTCTTTGACCGAGAGATTGTGGTCACCATCAGCTGGGCCAAGAGCATCCCAGGTAAGGGCCCAGATGTCCTAGGGCTTTCCCAAGCAGGGCAGGTGGTCCTTGGCTCTAAGGCACTTGCTCAGCCAGGTCTACTCCCCACTGCCCTCCAGGCTTCTCGTCACTGTCACTATCTGACCAGATGTCAGTACTGCAGAGCGTGTGGATGGAGGTACTGGTGCTGGGTGTGGCCCAGCGCTCACTGCCTCTGCAGGATGAACTAGCCTTTGCTGAGGACTTGGTTCTGGATGAAGAGGGGGCACGGGCAGCTGGCCTTGGGGAGCTGGGGGCAGCTCTGCTGCAGCTGGTGCGGCGCCTGCAGGCCCTGCGGCTGGAGCGAGAGGAATATGTCTTGCTGAAGGCCCTGGCCCTTGCCAACTCAGGTGAGTCCAGGGCAAGCATCCAGCACTCATCTACAGATCTCCCTGTAAGGCCCCTGCTAACATCCCACTTTGCAGACAAGGAAAACTGAGGCCTAGAGAAGAACAGCAATTTTATAGAAGTCAAGAAACTTTATAAAAGTCAAAAAAAAGTGAAGGCAGATCCCAAACTGCACAGGAGTTTGAGCCATGCTAATGTGGAAGGGTAGTTTAGTAGGGAGGGAGGACACGATGTTGCCAAATTGAAGGACAAAGGGTCAGCCTTGGCTCATGGGCAGGAATCCCTCTGCCAGCTGGATAGCAAGTCCATTATTGGCCGCTCCTTACGTCTCATCATGGTGCTCAACGATGTGAGTTTTACCCTTTCCTGAGGTGGCCCAGCTCAACAATTATGGCCCTTTCCTTGCAGACTCTGTGCACATTGAAGATGCTGAGGCTGTGGAGCAGCTTCGAGAAGCCCTGCATGAGGCCCTGCTGGAGTATGAAGCTGGCCGGGCTGGCCCTGGAGGGGGTGCCGAGAGGCGGCGGGCAGGCAGGCTGCTGCTCACCCTACCACTCCTTCGCCAGACAGCGGGCAAAGTGCTGGCCCATTTTTATGGGGTGAAGCTGGAGGGCAAGGTGCCCATGCACAAGCTGTTCTTGGAGATGCTCGAGGCCATGATGGACTGAGGCAAGGGGTGGGACAGGTCGGGGAGCTGACAGGACCTGCTCAGCATGGGGTCAGCCCTAAGGGGGCAGACTAGGGTCTGGGCAGTGCTACAACCTGCTGGCAGGGCCAGGGCAATGCCATCAGTGCCTGGGAGCAGGCCCCATGCCCTCCTCTCCCCCCTTGGGGGGGGTATCAGGAGCTGGGAATGTGAATGCCCAGAGTGGGCACAGTGCTGCCCCTTGCAAGCCATAATGTGCCCCCAAGAGTGTAGGGGGCCTTGCGGAAGCCATAGAGGGCTGCAGGGGATGTGGCAGGCAGAAACCCCATCTCAGGGAGGGAAGGGGATGGAGGCCAGAGTCTCCCAGTGGGTGATGCTTTTGCTGCTGCTTAATCCGACTTCCTCTCGAGTAGAGGGGGACTTGGGAGAGCAAAGGCCCCTGCCCCCTTCGCTCCTCTCCTCATCATTTGCATTGGGCATTAGTGCCCCCTCCTCGAAGCAATAACTCCAAGCAGGCTCCAGCCCCCGGGCCCCCAGGGCCCCCCATGAGCTCCCACCTAGCCTCCTCAAGGGGTCAGGAGAGCACTGCCTCTATGCCCTGCAGAGCAATAACACTATATTTATTTTTGGGTTTGGCCAGGGAGGCGCAGGGACATGGGGAAGCCAGGACCCAGAGCCCTTGGCTGTACAGAGACTCTATTTTAATGTATATTTGCTGCAAAAAGAAACCGCTTTTGGTTTTGAACCTTTAATGAGAGAGAGAAAAAAAAGATATACTATGGAGCTCAAGAACACTGTGTTTGGTGTGTCACTGGGTCAAGGT